GGTATGCGTCGGGACCGTTTGAGGTACGAGTCGGGACCGGTTGAGGTACGCGTCGGGACCGTTTGAGGTACGCGTCGGGACCGTTTGAGGTACGCGTCGGGACCGTTTGAGGTAAGCGTCGGCACCGTTCGAGGTAAGCGTCGGGACCGTTTGAGGTAAGCGTCGATGGCCAAACATTAACTGGCTTCGAAGATCAAAGTAAGGGCATTATAAAGTATACAAGGCAACACGTAGAGCATAATGTTATAGCGAAGAGCAACGGTACAACATGACTTAGTTATGTTATAGCGAAGAGCAACGGTACAACATGACTTTGTTTCGAATACTAAGCGCTCAGCAAACGCTTAACCCACATCTTGACTTTGTATCAAATTATTAACCTAAAACACTATTTAGTATCGAACGTTTAAGCTGCGACAAGACTTCGTATCAAATTCTTAACCAACAACATGACTTAGTATCAAATGCTTAACCTACAACATGACTTTGTCTCGAATTTCTTAACTTACATCATGACTTTCTATCAAATTTCAAAACTTATTATAAGATGACGGCGTCAAAGACAAATTTTGTACACCATGCTTAAAATCAAATAGCAAAGGTACATCATTACCTACCATCGAAGGCCAAAGGGAGATCACGGCATCAAATCAAAGACCAAAAGTAGATCATTACTGAATATCAAAGGACAAAGGCATCTCCTGATAATAAAACGTTATCAAAGTTGTTTTACAATGTTTGAAGTGCGTCCCTTAAGTACCACCAACAGGGGCTGATCACAGTTTCAGACGACAGTGATCCCAAAATAATGAATTGAAACTCTGCTCTATAAGTTAGATTTGTTTAAGCCAGCTTTACGTTACGCCATCGTTACTCGACAGTTTTAGCCAACCTAACATGACGTCAACATTATTAGACTGTTTTAGCCAGCTTTACATGACGTCAACATTATTAGACTGTTTTAGCCAGCTTTACAGGACGCCAATATTATTTAAAGGTTTTAGTCATCTTTACATGAATTCCTTTTTATACAGTTTTAGCCATCTTTACATGACGCCATCATTATAAGACAGTTGCAGTCATGTTTACATGACGTCATCATCATGCGACAGGCGTAGTCTTCTTTAAACGAAATCATCATCATTAGTCAGTTTTAGCCAGCTTTACATGGGCGCCATCCTCATTGAGCAAGCTTTACATGATGTTACCACGCCGACATCCCATTCATTAACAGGTTACCGTTGAAGCGATTGCATTCAGCCTTCGCACGGTTATCCAACGGGCGATGGTGAAGAAAGGTCGTACTCAAGTCGTGGGACCAGCTACCAACGACTTGTAAGTTTATCTTTTTTTTTGTTTTTTTATTTAAAAAAAAGTTCTAAATAAATATCGATTAGAAACGGACGGTCGTGACGACATGCTGCAGTTGGTGGTTTGCCGTCTTGTACTTCGAGCCCTCGCTGACATGCTGCAGTTGGTGGTTTGCCGTCTTGTACTTCAAGCCCTCGCTGACATGCTGCAGTTGGTGGTTTGCCGTCTTGTACTTCGAGCCCTCGCTGACATGCTGCAGTTCCTGCAGTGAGAGGAAGGGAGGTTGTTGTTGTTCTTGTTTTATGTATGGATATGGTCAAGGAGGATGAAATGGTATTCATGAATGTTGTTGCGCTTTCAAACAAATATCTCATAACGTCGGAGCATCAATCGTCCATTTGGGTCAAGTATTTAATACTTAAAAAGTATAAGATCCTGACTATTATTTTACTCCAAACTTGAGATTTATTTCTCATATTTGTGAAACGTATTGTGCAAATATGAAATATAGTGACGCCACCACATCGGACTTTCGTCGCGCTTCCATAGAAATAATTACCAGTCACCGCCGCAAAAGCAGGATACACATCCACAGCTAGAAATGATAGGCCACTAAAGAAATAGTGTGGTCAGCATAATATACAACCGTGAGACGTTACAATGGTGTCAGAATAAAACGTATGTTTATGCTAAATTACTAAATAATAAAATACTAAAATTATGATAAAAAAATTAAACAAATTAATACGAACATAATAAAAACAACAAACCATTGCATAGCCAAAGAACTAAACAAACTCTCTGTATGAAGGTGAGTTTCGTTCACGGGTTTTTTCTACTTCATTTTTTTCTCTTTTTTTAGTCTGAATATTCAAAATGCGTGGGTTTTTTTTGTTTTTTTGGGCAATATGTTTTAATTTTTAAAAAATTTCATATCCACATACTCTAAAAAGACTCAAAATGCAAAAGTATCTTTCCTATTTAACCCCCCCCCCCTTCCCACCCCTTTAAAACAAAATCCCCAAATCTCCTCAAATCTTCCAGACAATAATTTTGATTTCAAGTCTCCAAGGTAAGTTTTCTTTTAATCGGCTGATCAGGAGCACAGGAACCCATGACGACATTTGCGTGTTTATTATAGTTGCCGTGAATTAGGGTTCGGGTTAGGTAGAGGGATAGATTTAGGGTTCAGGTTAGGCATAGGGATCGATTTAGGGATAGGTTTAGTGACAGTATTAACTGGTTGTGTCCACCAAGATGGCGGCCATCGCGGATACTATTCTCCTGATTTACCTTTTAATCTTTTTATTAATAACAACAACAACAAAAAGACAAAAAAAACATGTTATGTTCTTGCACATTAAGCCAAAGCCTAAAACACTGTTAACCTGTCCATCTTGGAATAAGTCAATGTTTTTTGTTGTATTTTAAGTGTCCAAACTCAAGTTATCCCGCATTTCTGTTTCAAAGACCCACGGTGGAAAAAGGCTCAACGATCGCCTACGGTCTGGCCGGAAACGACAAGTTCACGGTGACCGTGGTCATGAGGACGTCCGCTGATGGGACAGCCACGTACAACGCCCTGCCCGTGTACGCCTGGGGGACCATCTACTACGTCATCACTGGAACGTGAGCGGTTGCTTCCTTTTTTTTTATGGCTGAAATTTTCTTTTTATAGATTAAAAGATTACCATGAGGGGGGGGGGTGCAGTGTCGTAGCTAGGGGTTGTGCTGCCTGTGGTGGACAAAAATTGTTGCTGTCCCTTTACAAAAAATGTCTGCACTTTGCCCCCAAAATTCCGCCCATTGTGTTAAGAGAAAAGTGCCGCCCGGGTTGGACAATTCCCTCCGCACTACCATTCCGACGCCACTGAGTGAAGCATTTTTCAGATTTCCCATATTATACGGTAGAGATGGTGAAGGCATATTTTTTTTTGTGAGGTCCCTATAAGTCGGATCTATTTATTTAACCTGCGTTTTGGGTAAGATATGTGTGTGGGAGGGTGTGTGTCGGATGGTCTTAAGGGTAAAACGGCTACCAACGTGGTGAGATAATATAACGCAGAGTTTCTCAAACTCGCGGCCCGCGGGGCATTTGCGGCCCTGCAAGACGATACTGTGCGGCCCACTACATGACACCAAGGTTTAGTGTTAATGCGGCCCGCGCGTTTTCCCCATGCTCATATCTATAGTGTGACCGTACGCGACGGTTTCAGTCGAATCTCACCGACTGGTGATTCTGTTTATCATAGAGCTGGACGTTGAGTGTAATGGTTTCATAAACGTTTTAAAAGTTGGATTAATAGTTTTTTTTTCTTTTATTGCAATTAATGAGACAAACATGGCCGAAATGCGGTTTTGAGAAAAGTTTAAAAAGTCAGTTAGTGGGTAGTGCACAACAATAATTGTGTTAATTGTAGCAATCTGACACAGTGTCAAAGGATCCCTAGAAAAAAAAACTGCCGCTATTGTTTACAATTGAGGGAAATTCCGAGCCTTCCAGTTTGGTCACTTACAAAAAAAAAATTGTTAAAAGGATGCGGCTATTCGGACCCGTTGAGAGTTTGGGTTTATTAAAAAATGTTTTAAAATTATTGTAGGGTTTGTAAGACAAAATTTTGTATCAAATGAAAGATAATTGAATGGGCTATATGTTTGTAAACTTACTTCTTCTGTTGAACTAAAATAAACTACCACAACTGACACCCGAATAGAATTTAGTCAAAATGGAACAGGAAACGCATCCCGCTATTCGGACCCGGGTCCCATTAGACTCAAGGGCGTTGGATGTCATTTGTGGTAGTTTATTTTAGTTTAACTGAAGAAGTAAGTCTACATAAACATATAGTCCATTCAATTATCTTTCATTTGATACCAAATTTTGTCTTACAACCTAACAATACTATTTTATTTTAAATTTTAATCCCAACCTCTCACTTCGTGGACCCGGGTCCGAATAGCCACTTCGTTGTTAAAAAGACCTTTTCTACGATTAAAAATCAAAATGTATTCTCCCTACAATAACATCTCCCTTCGCATACATAATTCATAAATATTTCCTGCTCCTGCCTACTGTTTGAACATGTTTTAGCATTTGAAGCCTTCATGGAGAATGATGGGATGGTTGTTCCTGTTCTAAGTGATTCCCGAATGGCTAATGGAGTTGGCTTTTCTTGCTGACATTACACAGCAGCTGAATGTACTCAACAAGAAGTTTCAAGACCAGGGGCAGATTATAAGTGTTGCCTTAAACAGTGTCAGGGCATTCCGCACAAAACTTGTGTTATAGTTCTTAGAGAAACCGCTCCCATTTTCAAAACATGAAAAGTACTCATGGACTCGGGCAGACCATTCAGTACTAAATATACTGATGCCATTGCAAAGACACAGGAAGAATTGGATCACATGTTTGCAGAATTCAAAACACGCAGAGCCACTTTTTCAAATTTTCGCTGACTCTTCCTCCTTCAATGTGGAACATGCCCAACTCTCTTGCGCTTTAAATGGAGCAGATTGATTTTCACTGCAATTATGAACTCAATGATAAGTTCATGGAGGGAAATGGAAAACAGCCAAGCATGGACTATTTATGAGAGCAATGCACCTCCAGTTTCCTTGGGATTCCCAGGTTATTAAAGTGGACCACGTGCTTTTTTTGCGGGAAAAGCTCTTTTTTGACTGTGAACTTTAACACGTCAAATTTCAAGGCCAACTTTACTGATGAGCATCTTCAGGCTATGCTGAGGGTTTCAATTGCTTCCTCGCTCAACAAAAATGTTGCTAAACTGAGTAAGAAGAAGAGCTGCCAGGTCTCTGGCAACAATGAGAAGTAGGAAGGATGTGAAGTTAAGTTCTTGAGAACCCTTAATGGTTTTACTTTGTTATTACTAAAGGTTGAGCACCATTGTAACAGGTGTACTTTAGTGAATTGGTAATCGCTTTTTTTGTGGGTTGAATACTTGATTACGACCCAGTCTAATCAGACTCTACCTCCTGTGCCCCCCGGATGATCTGAGTTTGAGATCACTGAATAATCGGACAAATAGGGGACCACAGTTCGAAAAACTCCAAGATGCATATTTCTAATTTCCTCTGTGGGATTTTGTAAATTTAGGGCTTAAAAATGAATTACTACATTCGTACATTTCATCCTTTACCGATATCACTGTTACTGTTGCAACTTGTTTTGGCCCGAGAGGTTACCTCGATCAATATAATTTAAGGTGTTAACTACTAGTTATTTTTTTTACAACTGTAATAATACGAAGTCTTAAATTTCACGTATCACTTATTTATTTATATAGTTATTTGTATGCAAAACTACACAGAATAAGGTCCATATCTGATGTATAGTTGAATTATGTGTACATACAGCTATGTCATAATACACACATTTCTTTTTACAGCATAACACGAGCCCCAATCTCCCCAGATAGTTTTCTTTATTCCGAACAATATGGCCCGCTCTGCGAGTTACTCGCTATCTATTTTTTTTTTATCTCTGCGTATCTCTACATTGACATGAAATAGTGGTGTTCACCCCACATTCAAGTTAAATCAAATATCATCATGCTACCAATCAAATATTTCTTGTTACAATCGAGCACAGGTCTATGCCGTTCGTGCTGATCACGACTGTCGAGGAAAATACCGTCACGCTGTGGCTTTCGGGTTCCAAAGGGATGCCCGTGGAGTTTAAGTTGGAAGGAGTCATCTACAAACCATACGACAAGTTGGAGCAAAAGCTTAAAATGTAAGCCTAAAGAAAAAAAGCAGACGTTAAAATTGGACGTTAAAATTAGACATTAAACTTAGAAGTTAAAATGAGACGCTAAAATTAGACGTTTATAGCAGACTTTCCAAGCAGATTTTAAAAGTAGACGTTAAAAAGTAAGTAGACGTTATACCTGGATATTAAAAGTAGACATTAAAACCAATTCTTAAAAATAGACTTTAAATTAGATGGTAAAAGTAGAAGTAAAATGTAGGCGTTAGAAGTGGACGTTAAACGTAGATGTCAAAAATAGAAGTTTAAAGCAGAAGTTACAAGGTAGACGTTAAAAAGCGGACGTTAAACGTAAATTAATGTTTAAAGTTAGAAGCAGACGTTAAAATTAGACGTATAAAGGTAACTTTAAATGGTGACTTAAAAAGCAGACGTTAAAAATAAATGCCAAAAGTAGACGTTAAAAGCCGACTTTAAAATTAGACGTTAAAGGCGGACGTTAAAAGCAGATGTTAAAAGCAGACGTTAAAAGCAGACGCTAAAAGCAGACGATAAAAGCAGATGTTAAAAGCAGACGTTAAAAGCAGCCGTTAAAAGCAGATGTTAAAAGCAGATGTTAAAAGCAGATGTTAATAGCAGACGTTAAAAGCAGATGTTAAAAGCAGACGTTAAAAGCAGATGTTAAAAGCAGACGTTAAAAGCAGACGTTAAAAGCAGATGTTAAAAGCAGACGTTAAAAGCAGCAGTTAAAAGCAGATGTTAAAAGTAGATATAAAGCAGACGTTAAAAGCAGCCGTTAAAAGCAGATGTTAAAAGCAGACATTAAAAGCAGATGTTAAAAGCAGACGTTGAAAGCAGACGTTGAAAGCAGACGTTAAAAGCAGACGTTGAAAGCAGACGTTAAAAGCAGCCGTTAAAGCAGATGTTAAAAGCAGACGTTAAAAGCAGACGTTAAAAGCAGATGTTAAAGCAGACGTTAAAAGCAGACGTTAAAAGCAGACGTTAAAAGCAGACGTTAAAAGCAGATGTTAAAAGCAGTTGTTAAAAGCAGACGTTAAAAGCAGACGTGAAAAGCAGCCGTTAAAAGCAGACGTTAAAAGCAGATGTTAAAAGCAGATGTTAAAAGCAGACGTTAAAAGCAGACGTTAAAAGCAGCCGTTAAAAGCAGACGTTAAAAGCAGACGTTAAAAGCAGATGTTAAAAGCAGACGTTAAAAGCAGACGTTAAACGCAGACGTTAAAAGCAGACGTTAAAAGCAGATGTTAAAAGCAGATGTTAAAAGCAGACGTTAAAAGCAGACGTTAAAAGCAGACGTTAAAAGCAGACGTTAAAAGCAGACGTTATAAGCAGGCGTTAAAAGCAGATGTTAAAAGCAGACGTTAAAAGCAGGCGTTAAAAGCAGCCGTTAAAAGCAGACGTTAAAAGCAGACGTTAAAAGCAGATGTTAAAAGCAGATGTTAAAAGCAGACGTTAAAAGCAGCCGTTAAAAGCAGATGTTAAAAGCAGACGTTAAAAGCAGCCGTTAAAAGCAGACGCTAAAAGCAGACGCTAAAAGCAGACGATAAAAGCAGATGTTAAAAGCAGACGTTAAAAGCAGACGTTAAAAGCAGCCGTTAAAAGCAGACGTTGAAAGCAGACGTTAAAAGCAGACGTTAAAAGCCTACATTAAAAGCAGACTTTAAAATTAGATGTTAAGCGTCGACGTTAAAAGCAGACGTTAAAAGTAGACGTTAAAAAATAGATGTTAAAATTAGTTTTTAAAAGTAGTTTTACAAAAAAATAAAAGAATTGATTGAAAAGTAAAGATTGTAAAAAAAAATGGATTGAAAAGTAAAAGGTACACCAGAAAGAAAAACAACGATTCCAAGATCTGATTGAAAACATTTTTAATGACTTTGCTTGGCGTCTTTCAGGCTGGAGACCTTTGTAATTTCCAAATGTTCAGGCGATGAAGCTGTTGATAATCTTCATAGTATTTTGGACGGTAAGCTTGTTGTTGAGCGAGTACGTCCTGTAAAAGAATCTATACGGGACCAAGAGTATCAGATACAATTCGATTTAGAAATTGCGATGAGTGAATGTTGTCAAAAGACAATTTGATGAGGGAATTTTTTACAAATTCAAAGAAAAGGGTTAATTTGTTGAGCAGTTGTTTACAAAAGCCAATTAGATGAGGAAATATATATAATAATTGTTTTTAATGGCGTCAGGCAAAAAGATTCACATTTTAATGCTATTCTGAAAGGTCGTGTAATATTTGAATTGTACTGTTTATTCTCACCAGGCGCCAAGGTCATCGCCGAGAAGCCAGTTGGGGTCACCTCCGGAAATTGCCGGACAGTTGTAAACGGAATTAAGTGTCCGGAGCCTCTAAAAAGGCCTGACATGATGGCAGGTTAGCTCTAATTTTTGTGTGGTAACTTTATGTTTAAGTTATAAGTGATTAATCTAGATATATTACAACAAATGTGTTCCCATTCAGCTATATAGAGATAACATAAATAGAGACATCTTATGTTAATAGATTCTTCACACAAAGCCACAACTCATAATTTATACATCTCATTCCTAAATACACTTAATAAGATGACAGGAAAAATGTCCAAGCGAGATAAGTCCTACTAGAGCAGCGGTTCTCAACCCGTGGGTTGCGACCCCTAGGGGTCGCATAAGACCATCGGAAAACACATAGTCATGATGTAGCAACTAAAATAATTTTATGGTTGGGGATCGCATCAACACGAAGAAATTTATTAAAATTTCGCGGAATCGGGAAGGTTTCCAACCTCTGTACTAAAGGATGGTTTATCAACATCTACAATTTCTTAGAAATAGGACAAGCGCGATGGGCAAGATATGTCACGAGAGAGCCAGTGAGCAGGCTGCCCACAATACTAATGCACGGCAAACTTTCCAGAGGGAAAGCAGGTGGACAATGAGGGGAAAAAGAAAGCTTTAAAGATTGTCTAAAAAATGTCCTTTAAATCCATGGTCATTGACATGAGATTATGGGAAACACTTGCTAGGAATCGCGCCAGCTGGTGAGGCAGACTCACTGCGCACAACGAGTTAAAGCAAAGACGGCTCCAAGCCCACCAGGATCCTACACACAGGATGTATCTGTCCTACATGCGGGCCAGCTTTTTTAGGCACTAAGAGGACAGTTATGCCACCTTTTTAAATTTAGCCTTGGTCCTCTTGGCACGCAGCTCCCGAACGACGAAGATAAATTTAATTATGCTCATAGACACGCCTTGCTATAGACATACCATTTTATAGACACACCATGCTATAGACACACCATGCTGTAGACCACCATGATATAGACCCACCATGCTATAGACACACCATGCTGTAGACCACCATGATATAGACCCACCATGATATAGACACACCATGCTGTAGACCACCATGATATAGACCCACCATGCTATAGACACACCATGCTATAGACCCACCATGCTATAGACCCACCATGCTATAGACACCTTATGCCTTAGACCACTGGTCGGAAAACTCCTTAGTCAAAAGAGCCAAAAATCAGCAGCAGGGCGATTTAAAAAAAAATTCGGCGTCAAATTTCTTTTCAAGAACCTGTCAAGACACGTGTTTATCGGAGTCCAACCAGATTTGTGGCCGACTGGCCGAGCCACACTCAAGTCCCTAAAGAGCCACATGCGACTCGCGAGCCGCGGCGCTTTGCCGACCTCCGCCTTAGACAACTCTGAATACAGACATCTCATGCTGTAGAGCACTTATGATCAAAAGAAATACTGGAGGAAAAAAATACCAAGAACTGATCAGGTTGAGACTTAATTTACTTAACGTTAGGAATTTAAAAACAAAAGAACAATCGTTCCGTTATGAATCTGTTGATCAACGCTCATACATAACTAACCTCAACCATCTCCCCCCCCCCCCTTCAACCACCAGAAATGATGCTACCTGTAGATGAGTACAGGCGGAGGATGATCTTACCCAACATTCCTAATCGCAAGATTCCGGCGGAGATGGTTGTTGTGTCACCCTGGCCTAATACAAAGTTCTTCGTCAGCAGTGAATCGGAGATCGAGAGATACGTCACGAGTTCAGGCCAAGTGGTCAAGGTGGGCAAGTTTGTGTAAAGGTGAACTCGTTTTGGTTTTACCGGCACTGAATCCGTGACATAATAGAATTGATGACAGATGACTTTTATCAGATGACTTTTCTCAGACGAGCTCTCTCAGATGAGTTCGCTCAGGTCACTTTACACAGATGACTTCTCTCGGATGACTTTTCTCAGATGACTTCTCTCAGATGACTTTTCTCAGATGACTTTTCTCAGATGAATTCTCTCAGATGACTTTTCTGAGATGACTTTTCTCAGATGACTTTTCTAAAACCCTCTACAAAGATACTCCCGTTGAGACATTACACTATGCGCGCCGGCCCCCCAAACACTGTCAGGGGCGTGGGACTCCGTGTGAGCGATTACAAGGCCGGGCGACAGAATCAGGGGCGGGTTGCTTTTCGTAAGTGCCTTGCAAAACAAACAAAAAACTAAACCAAAAAAAAAAAAAACCAAAACAATATATATAAATATATTTATTTGTTGTTTGTTGCTCGTCCGTCGTCCCAGCGCAGTCCGGATTTTTATCTGTTGCTTAAATTCCAGCAAGTTAATAAAATCGAATGCATAAAATAGTTGCTTGTATATGTTGTTGTTGTTTGCATTTGCAGAATCCATACCACGCTGGGAATTTCTACATCAGAGGTGATAAAGGCATCTTGACACTTTACACCCAGACTTCCACGTGCCGGATTAACTATGAGGAACCGATGGGCGCCGCGCCCAACCTCTGCATCGTCATACCGACCAGCCTGTTCTACTACAGATACTTCTGGAGGTCTGTGCTCACAATCGTAAATGGACATGAAAAGTTGTTGTTGTTTTTTTTCTTTTAAATTAAAATATATGACTATTCATAAAGTATATCTTTCATTAAAACTAATGGTTTTTAGTTTAACTGGTATCTTATTTAAAAATCAAGTCAGAATTACTACTTTTACCGATCCCGTTTATATCATAGAGTTCGTTTTCGAACAATTCGAATCAATTTAACTGTGATGAATTATAATTGATTACATATTTCCCATTTTCCTAATTTTCTCAACAATTTAAATAATAATTATTTTGTTTGTTTCTTTTTTTTTTGTGTTTTTTTTTTTTTTTTTGGGGTGGTTTTTTTTCTTTATTTGTTTAAAATTTTTTTTTTTAATTTTAAATTATTTCATTAATCAAGTTTCCCGCCCCTTACCCCAAACAGGACACCAGATCTTCAAACGATGGACTTTATCTTGATCGTTGCTAGGAAAAAGGACAGGAAATATTTAATCTGGGATGACAAGCCTCTTAATCTTACGTAAGCAGCAGTTGTTAATACAGAGTGCGTGTAAGTGAGAGAATGGAATAATATGGGTTAATTGGGGGAGGAGGGGGGGGGAGAGAAAGCGATAAAGTTTTTGTAGAAGAAAAAAAACACCAAATGTAGAGAATAAGGTTCTTTCTTAACTTTGAGGAAAAGTCAACACAAGACAATAAAAGTCAACACAAGACAACAAAAGTCAACACAAAACAACCAAAGTCAACACAAGACAACTAAAGTCATACAAGACAACAAAAGTCAACACAAGACAACAAATGTCAACACAAGACAAAAAAGTCAACACAAGACAACAAATGTCAACACAAGACAAAAAAAGTCAACACAAGAAAACAAAAGTCAACACAAGACAGCAAAAGTCAACACAAGACAACAAAAGTCAAAACGAAACAACTATAGTCACCGTTATCTCTCTCGACCATCTCTTTGCCTGGGGGCTGTTTTCATCGACGCCACAGACATGGCGTATCTGACGGAGGCGAATGTCGAATCTGAACTCCCCGGCCCGTGGGACGACGCGGTGCTACCCCCCCCCCACCGGTGTTCAGAACAGCCTCTGAAATGCTTGGCGATTGCTAACTAGCTAACGCACATATTCTGGTGAGGGTCTGAGATTAATCTCTTACGACTCCGGCCAGTACATTGGCAACCAGCTCCATCTGCTGAGCTGAGCCATTTAATATTCTCCTCACATTGGGCTCCCCCGACTCCCTGGCTTTCCCCCTTAAACGTCTAGTTAGGGACATAGGGTCGACAGATGCCCTAGTGTTTCTGGGACCAGGCTGTCATGCCAACTAGGTATGGTCCTTGTTATGAACTAGCCTGTTGAAGTACGTGCCCATGACAGTGTTGAGTTCGCCTCTGTGACACTCTGTGACTCTGCGCTTTGCGATTGCTATGTAGAACGACCAATCCATTTGATCTTTCCAGGCTAGGTTGGGAGGAAGTCTACGGCGCGCCAATGTACGCGGTCGGCAACAAGAAGGTTGTTAAAGGTCATCACGTGCTGGTCTCGACGAGAATGTATACCTTCGCATGCTACGTGTACGGCTTCGGTAGGAACAACTCGTACATGCACTCGGCCGGGTTCCAAGTAAGTGAAATACAAATTCTAGCCTACGGTTGGGTTGGAATTCAAGTGAGTGAGACAACATGTTTAAACTTGTGATTGGCTGGAATTTAAGTAAAATAAGCGGTTTGAAATTGTGATTGGCTGGAATTCTATTTAAATAGCGTTTTGGACTAGCGATAGGTTAGAATACAAGGAGGTTAAATAACTGTTCTGACACATATCAATTTGTAAACATATTCTTTAAATTAAAAAAAAAAAACTCCTGAAACAAATAATAAAAAGAATTTAAAATGTACTCAAAATTGTTTCTTGTTTTCATTATGAATGATCATCCAAAAACCAAATACAAGTTTGTGAACTTTTTTTTCAAATCTTCTTTCCAAGGAGTGTGGCCTGGGCCCCGACTCGGACACCAAGGATGATCTCATCGACAACGATTGCGATGGACAAGTCGATGAAGAGATGAAGGATAATATAGGTACAGCTGTTTTGTTACTGTCCAGTTGTTATGCTGTTTCGAAGATAAAGTTGAGAAGGCAGACTTAAAAATGAAAAAAAGATCCGTCTCAGCTATTTGAGGCTACGCTATGAAAGCTCGGGGTTAAAGGTCAGATGATCGACACAGAAAGCAAAATACACAAGGTCCAAAAATCAAAGGGACAAACGATCTGTTTATCAAAAACTGAACAAAGATCCACTGACCGCAAAAGCTTACCCAAAATGAAGTAGAAGCACAGCTCGAAGCATCGCACGAGGAAGTAAACGGGGAAAACAACAGAAATGAACAGAGGGATAGGGTGGAAAAAATTCTGTGAAAATATCAGCAGAAAAAGTGGTAGGATTCCAGCAAAAAAACAGTGGAGTAGGCTGGTTTGATAGTGATTGTAGAGAGACTGTCGAGAAAAGATACGAGGCGCGAATGACCATGATACAAAGGGAAATCAGAAAAACGAGACAAATATATCATAAAGCAAGAAAGAAAGCCACGAAAATGTGTAGGACGAAAAAAAAAAAGGTAAATGTAAAAAGCTGAACTAAAAGAAATAGAAGACTCATCAAGAGTGATACATATTAGAGAAATGTGCATGGAGATAAAAAGTGAAAAGAATGGAAACCCGACTAGACCTCAAATGTGTGAGAGCATTGATGGAGAATTAAGTACGGAACATAGTAAAGTACTGGAGTGGCGGGCTGAATATATCGAGGTCATACTAATTGCCGACAACTAAGAAGATGAAATTTATCAACCATCACATGGGGTCCAGACCATTTCTTAAAATCCCCATATTTGGAAGATACTACAGAAGTAATACATTCGATGAAAAAAAACAACATAATGTCCATTGAGAAGAACTCATCACAGCAGAACATATTTAATATGGCGGTAGATAACTTCAATTACAAGTTGGCAAGAAGAGAATATTCCAACAGAATGGGAAACAGCATTAATAACCCTCAATACCCAAAAAAAGGGTTCCAAACTTCAATGCACTACAGAGGAATTCTCCTAAACAATGTTGCAAACGAAATACTGACAAAACTAATTGCCAAAAAGCCTTCAACGGTAATTGCCAAAAAGCCTACAACGGTACACTTAACAAATTCTAGGTGACTCACTACCGATGTAGATTAAGGCAAAAAAAACTCCACAAAAAAACGACTGATCAGATTTTTCAACATCAGTCGCCTATTAGAGAAATGTTACGAATATAATAACCCTAATACATAAACTCAATGTGGACTATTAAATGGCCTTTTAAAAGTATAATTGGTGATTTAGCTATCTATAATAGCTAAAAACTATGACTAATGCAATTGACGAAGATACCGTGCAACAGTACCGCAGTACCAGGTTACTAACTATGTTTCATTAGATGGACCTACTCTTCTATATTTATATATATATATATATATATATATATATATATATATGATAAGAAAAAAAGAACTGCTGACTTAATTGTAAATGTTATAAGGCCCTAGAGAAGGGGTAGAAATGACGAAGATATCGCGCAACAGTACCGCAGTACCAGATTACTAAATATGTTTCATTAGATAGACCTACTCTTCTATATATATATATATATATATATATATATATATATATATATATGATAAGAAAAAAGGAACTGCTGACTTAATTGTAAATGTTATAAGGCCCTAGAGAAGGGGTAGAAAGACTTATTTCTCAGTTTTCCCATACTTTGTATCACTCATTTCCATGAATAAATTGTAACCCTACAAACTCTTGACTTGAAACTGCACCTGAATCGACGTCGTAATTCTCTATTTACTGCAACTCTAACACCGCTAAATCAACAGATAACGATGGCGATGGATTTATTGATGAAGACCTAAACTCCAAATTCAGTAAGTTTTTTTGTCCTTGATTTTCCGATACTCTCTCTCTCTCTCGCCTAGTCTTAAGTTTGCCGTAATTTGCGGAATGTGTGTGAGAGAATGAAGAGGCCATTTGAAAACACATGCGTGTGTGGGTGTGTTGGGCAGAGGCGTAGCGGGAGTGTTTGGCGCCCGGGGGACAAGATTCGCGCCCGGGGACAAGATCCATTTTAAAGCGCCAACCTTTTCTTTTTTCAACTCTCAAACCCATTGTTTTTTACCAATAATATAATATTAAAGCATATTTTGGCGCCCCTAACTAGCTTGCGCCCTCGCTACGCCTCTGGTGTTGGGTAAGGAAAAGGGTGGGGGCGGTGAACCTAAACACCTCAGAGTGTGAACCAACAGGACTAAACTTACTGGACTTAATACGAAGATTTAGTGTCTTTAAAAAATGATACCACTGAACATAAAGATTTTTTTATTTTATATTTTTTTAAATTAAGAATTTAAATATTTTAAAATCCACTCTATTATAGTACCTAGCAAACACTACTACCTGCTGCTGTTTCTAGGGATGATTGTCGTTTACATCGTGCTGTTTATCATAGTGTAAGTATTGCAATGTCATACCTTTATATACTTAAGAATGTTGTATTCAAATGTCATCTATAGTAAGAGATGGTCGTAAATTGAAGAAAAAAAATCTTTTTTTTTTTAAAAATGACATGTCTTAAGATGTCATTGTCAAAAATATCATGTTTGTGTGTCATATATCCAACCCTCCTGTCCGAACTAACATTGATCAAACTGCCTTGCTTGATTGTAATGTTTTACGCTGCCTTGCTTGGTTGTCCTGTCGTGCTAGATATTCATGTATCAAACTGTAGTGTCTGATTGTCATGTGTCAAACTGTAGGGCTAGATTGTCCTTTATCAAGATATCTTGCTTGATTGTAATGTATTAACATCTCGTGCTGCTAGACTGTCATGTAACAAACTGTCAAATGCAAATGAAGAACAAGACATTTCAATTCAAGGATTTTTAAGTATCCGACATTTTGACGTGTAAAAAAAAAAGTCTTCTAATAAATTATGTTTGTTGGGTGTCTAAATAAAAGCATTTTGAAGATATTATTTGCGTAGTTTCACACAATACCAAATTTTGGTCAATGAAAAGTTCTATTGCTGTCAGTGGCTTCACTGTGATGTTTCTGTTTATGTTCTTACACTATTCACCTCCTTTTAAGCGAACGATTGCACGCGCAAAGAACACCGTGTGAACAATCTTATCTTACACTTTATGAAGCCCAAAAAACCAATCTATGAACTATTAGTAACATAAGAGTGTCTACGAAAATAATTTTTTTGTTCTTGTTCAAACCCTTAAAGTCAATAAATAGTGACGCGAGATGTCTTTAGGCTTGACGAAAGGGCATGGCTTTCATGTGATCTTTCAATATGCAAGAGCAATATGTTTTTTCCATTCGTTATGTGACTGTTTATAACTCACACTTTTCACACAAGACGTTTTTATGACATAATATTCCATTACCCTTTTCTGTCTCTTGTTTTTCTCTCTCTCCCACTCCCTCTCTCTCTCCCTCTACCTCTATCCCACCACCCTCTTCTTCATTACCCCTTTCACTTCCTCAGGAAGAAGAGTGGCATCATCAAGAGGAAGAAGAAGACCGACACACCCCCGGTGGAGGAGGAGGAGGAGGCAAAGAATGAGGACGCGCAATTGTCAGAGTCCGAAATGTTAAAGGAGGTGGACCCCGTGGCCGGTTCCGAAGTCGATTCCGGAAGCGCGTCCGGAAGAGGGTCCGACCACCTGGGGAACACCGCACAGTCCTACGTGTCTAGGAGGGCACCGTCCCACGTGTCGAGGAAGGCAGAGTCGACCGTCGCATCTTTCATGTACTCCGTGGCACCGGATCTCTACGGCACCAGCGTGGAATAGGCAGCAAGGAAAGGAAGAGTTTCGATGAAACGCACCATCTGCATAATTTCAACCGCACGTCTTGCAGTCTTAACAAGGATTATTGAATTTTTGCTTGTGGTGCATGTTGCCCCCTTCCCCCCCCCCAACCACTATTTTTTTCTTCTTACCTCAGGTGTCATAAAGCTTCACTTTGGAATAATTTCTAGGAGAAATTTCTTGGAGTAATTTGTTTTAAAATTTGCATGTTGCCCCCCTCCCCCCCCCCCAACCACTATTTTTTTCTTCTTACCTCAGGTGTCATAAAGCTTCACTTTGGAATAATTTCTAGGAGAAATTTCTTGGAGTAATTTGTTTTAAAATCCATTGATTATGGATACAGGTGAAACCTGTACGGAATGTTTAGCCCCTATCATGATTTACGAAAGTTCAACAAACACAACCAAAAAAAAAAAGAAATTATTTAAAACAAATAAAAAGAGAAAAAGAAGGTGTTTGCAATCTAAAATAAAACACGAATCTAAAGTTTCATTTATATTGAAACAATTATAGAATGTGCCGTCAAATCAAGTAAATTGAAATAGTAACGGTCATTCGTGCCTTTAAAATTGATATATATATGATTTCTCATGCTATATTTTTTAATATATTTGTGAAAGTTTGATGAACTTTAAACTGATTTATGGTTAATATTTTTTTTTTAAATGTAAACCCGCTGATTATAGCTAAAATGATCAATTTTTTTATAGCTACTTACTGGTTAATATTATGATTATGGGTAAATATCTACTGGTTAATAAAAAACGATTTATATTAACTATCTATTGGATAGTAAAATGATTATCAAAAAATCGTTCATTCCTTATTCAAATGATGATTGATTAATTTATCCTTGATTTGTTTCTTGTTAAAGCAATAAATATAGATGAGCTGTCACCTGGTTAAAAGTTTTTAAAAAATGCTTGATAAATAACGCCTGCATAGTGTACAAAGCAAATCACGTGACGGAAAATCAATTATTATTTTTTTTTTTTAAATCGCTTCTTAGAATTTCGAAATTATATTTTTTATTAAGGCAAAGGAGAAATATATATAAAAATTTTCACCTATAGAAAAAAGTTACGTTGAACTATACTTCAATCAGAGGCAGCCTTCAGTCAAAATAAAAATTTGGATTTGCATCAGGAATCACATTTTTTTTGTTTTTTTTGTAACTTTTTACTTTTATCTCATTTTACATTTGCCATTTTTAACTCTTTTAAAAAGTTGTTTGTAACTTTTTACTTTTATCTCATTTTACATTTGCCATCTTTAATTCTTTTAAAAAGTTGAAGTTTTTTGTGTGTTTTAAAAAAAATAATAATTATTAAAAAAATCTTTCGTTGTCAATAAAATAAATTAACTAAATAAAATTAAACATAGCACGATTTTGAATACATTTTTACGTACATTCAGTTGTTATGTTCAAATTTAAAGTTGTGTACACGCTTCACAAAAGTGAAATTGTACGCATCTCCTTTCCAATATTTTTTTAAAAATTAAGTTACTAGCCCTTTGTGTTTTCCTTTTAAATTTATCTTCTTATGCTATCCTTATTGATTGATTCATTCATTTATTTATAAGTGTGTTGTTTTGTTTTTTTTTAAGCTGAAAAATAATATCAACAAATATTAAGAACAATGATGCGAAAGGATTTCTTTTAAAATTAATACATGAACGGTTTCAATTACACTTTGATCATTTCATAACGTGATATCAGATCCAACTCGAAGGTGGGTGACGCTTGAGCGTCGTCATTGTGGAGCAATGAGGTTTGTCTGCAATTTTACAATATTTTAAGTTTTTTTTTAAATGATTTTGTGCATTTCATTTTTTTGTTTAAATAGTTCATTCATCTTACATACGCACAATGTCTTCTTCTGGTAACACAGTTAAAAGCCTATTTTGCACTATGACGTCAGTACGGTCGTTGAAAAAGTTGGTCACACCCACCCATCATCCCGCCTCTCACCTACCTAGTGCACTCTGACATATTTGAAGAAACAAAAGGAAAAGCCCAGTGTGTCCGGCGTGTCCACTCATGGCTTGACAGGCGCAACACCTGTTGGAAATTAGCCATAGAGAGAAAAGTGAAAAAATTTTTTTTACAAAACAACAAAACTACAAATTATGGATGAACCCGGTTGCTGACCCGGATACCCGGAAATACCGAGTATTCCAAGCCACGGCACATACCACGACCCGGACAAAAATTACCGGGTCCAGGTATTTTAAATTTTGTAACAATTTTTATTTTCTCTTCTTTTTTTTTTCCCCCACGGTGTTTAAATGGGGTTTTAAAAATGTGCATTATAGACCAGTGCATCATGTTTGCATATATGTGTGTGTGTGTGTGTACTCTTCAACCTGAATTAAATAAATAATAATAGAAAACTGACTAGCGATAGGAGCGAAGAAAATAAGAGAATAAAACACTTAATGAAACCTTAAGGCTCTGCGATACTTGTATGGATATCATCAATTTTTGCGGAAAGTTCTTAACACTTTAAAAAATACGTTAAATGGGTTTTTCTTTTTTTTTTTTTAAAAATGATTTTTACTTTCTTGGTTGTATTTTTTCCTCTTAAACTAAAACGTTGGTAGCTCCAACGCAAACCTGTAGCCATAATTAAGTGAATTTATAAATAGTTTCTGAGGATTCAATTATAGAGCCACCTTCACAGAATCCCCAAACTTTGTTACTCGTTATTTCTGCTTTCTTTCATTCCCCCCTCTCCCCCAACCCCATTATGTTTCTCCATTCGGAAGCACAGAACCAAGACCGTATAGTCTACACAACAACAACACAACTCTTCCTCTCCTCCCTTTTCTAACACTTGTCTCTAAATTTCAAGGTATAATTTGAAGGTATAACGTCAAACTTCAAGGTATAACTTTAAGGTATAATTTCAAGGTATAATTTCAAGTTATAATTACAAGGTTTAATTAATTTCAAGGTATAATTTCAAGGTGTAAGTCTGTTTGCAGTTCGCTGCAACTTGGAAGATGTTAAAAAGGGATTCGCGACATTAAATAAAGTTTGAGAACCACCGGATTAAGCAGTTAGTGTTTTGCATCCTACCACTTCAATGCTTTCTTGATTGCTACTGGCTCTAAATATGCGCTGATCACTTCTCCCCATGAGTGGGGGAAAAAAAAGTAGGGAAATGAGAAGATAACTCATTTTAATAACACCTTGGCCCAGTCTGGTGTTGTCTCAAAGTACCCGGATACAGATTGGGTGGGACACATTGAATCGGTTACAAACGTCAAGGAAGTCTTTTTGTGCTGTTAATATCCCTACATTTAAATTATTATTTTTCATAATCTACATGCGCAAAAATAGATTTTTAAAAAAAATTCATGTTATGCCAATTTCCCTTGCAAAATGTTATCTTTTAAAAATATCAGAGATAAGTTTGATTTTCGGAAATGTGAACCGTGGCCCCAGGGCCGGCGCCACGGTTGTTGGCGTCCCAGGTAAGCTTATGTTTGGCGCCCCTTTGGAGTATAATCATCGAAAGATTTTGATGGAATATATTACAGGTTAGGTAATGAGTTAATTACATGGGTTGTTGTTCATTTTCTTGAGCAAGCAATGAACAATAGCATTGTGTTTCTTAATTTGGGCAGTGATGAACAATAGCATTTTGTTTCTTAATTTTGGCAGTATGAACAATTACCCCTAGCCTTAAGATAAGGTAATCTTTTTATGGCACCTCCTATATTTAACGTCTTAGCACTATTATTTCTTATAATTTATAGACAAAATTGCCGAAGAATTCATGATGTCTTGAGGCATGGATGGTCGTGGATATGTTTTCATAATCTATAGTTTACCAAAGCTTCTCTCAATCGCGGCTACAGTAACAGATATCGTAATCATTCTTCTTATTTCTACCCACAAATCTGGCATGACATCCATGTAACGTGCTAGTGTTTAGGAATTTAGCGGTTTCCATTTGGAAGCCTTATATCAGGTGGAGCACTTCCAATGTAAAATGGAAGCCAAGTATTTGGCACTAACAATCATTTTTCTTCCATGGCACCCGCTTGCAACCTTTTTCATATCGCCGGTTGCGCCCTAAGCACGTGGCGCCCGGAAAAAAACTGCAAGCCATGTGTGGCCCAGTAAACTACTTTCTGTGAAGATGAATTAAATTTTTTGAAATTAGTACATATTCAAAAGCCATATTCTTTCCCCTCATGTGCTCCACCTTTATTCATACTTTTTTGAATATTGCTTCTCTGAAAAGGGCAACCAGAACATTAGCCAAAGTCTGTTGCTAATAAAGTAGTGTGCTGTCTCATAATTATTTCCGTAGATAAGTGTAATGGAACGACTTGCTTTTTTCAAAAATAATCCCTCAGCCTCATCATGTCGATCTATGTCCCTATGGTGTGTTTTCAGTGGCTGGGTGTTACTTCCGTTTAGCATTCAGTTCCTCCATCGCGCATTTGTTGACGGTCGTGCATCAAGCGTGTGGCATCATCAGCAGGTTTTATCACTAGCGTGTGCAAAGATCTTCAGTTTGATCAATGATTAGAACATGGGGGATTTAAAATGCGACTCATCTATAATAATAAAATACGCTTGTCGAATGTTGATTGGACGTCTTTGTATTTCTATTGTATTTCTTTTCCTGTAACGCTCTTTTCTAAAGCGTTTTCTAGAAGTTGGAAATCTGAAATTATTTGTTACAGATTTCGGGGTAAAAGAAGGATACAGATGTGGATGTGAAAATGGATGCAGTGGATGCTAGCATTAATGTATGTGGCTGTGAGGGTTTTGGCTTAAGACCGTAACTGCAAGCCATGTGACCGAACCGGCTAGCAATCTTCTTCTTCTGTCCATTTTTACCAGGCAGGTGTCGACAGAAGGTACAGTTAGCGATCTGCCACTAGGTGCAAGGCCTGCTTGAGGTCACTGGATCGGCTATCAATGTGAAGGTATCGGATAGCGATGTATATATATTGGCAAGCAACGTGATTGTACCGGGTGGCGATATGATAGTATCAGCTAGAGATCTGACCATATCAGCTAGAGATGTGCCCATATCAGCTAGAGATGTGACCGTATCAGCTACAGATGTGACCGTATCAGCTAGAGATGTGACCGTATCAGCTAGAGATGTGACCGTATCAGCTAGAGATCTGACCGTATCAGCTA